AAAAAAAAAAAAAAAAAAGAATTCCTCAAATAAGGTTTTTCACAAAATTAAAGTTGAAACATAAACAATGCCATTGCATTATTTGGTATATATTATGATCTAGGGTGGAAAGGAGAAAAAATCTACACTTTTACCTGTTAATAGCCCACTGAAGTCTAACACCCCATTTCCATAGATTTTTAGATCGATCTATCCCTGTGGGGAGTCTCACTAGATTACTGTCAGCTTGGCCGGCTTAAGCGTCTGTCCCGCCTACTAAAAACTGTAAGGGGGTAATTAACTATGGTGCCCGCTCGGCTGACTGCAATTTAGCGTGAACCCCCAGGGAGTTAGGTCGATCTAAAACTTAATCTTTAGACCGATCTAAATCTCTGGGAAAGCACCCTAAGATTTCTACATTATTCCGAATGATAATAATAAAATAAGTTTTAATATTTCTACATAGCTCTTTAAAATAATTCTGTTCATCAAAGAGAAAAATCAAATGACTGAACAATAATTATTATATATAAATACACACCTTTAAAGTCCCCACAACTGTTGACACTGCGATTATCATTTATCATTCTCAAACCCCGTGTTAGGAAAGATTGATCAGGAACACAGTAAAAACATATAGCAAGTGCCCTGCCATGCTGACATGTTACAAAGTCATCAACTATATCAGGGGGTTTGTGATAGCCAGTAGGACTGGAGAATGGCTCAGGTATGTGCACATGACTAGGAGGAAAATCAGCCCTGGTTGAGGGATTCTGCATGTCAGCTTTTGGGTGTCTTCGGCGAACAGTCTCGTGAATAGGTCCACCAGATTCCTGTGAACTTACAAAATATGAGCTACTAAATTCTGTGCTTGTACTAGTACTGGTATGCATACTTTGCTGATGATTCTGTATATGTGAGGGTTTCATTTCAACTGGAATGGAAAGATTATTTCGTTGGCACAAATCAATCAGTTCATCTGCTATAAAGTCATCTCCAGTTTCTCTCAGTAAGTTTAAAAAGGCAAAGAAGGCCTGTGTGTCTTTCATGGAGAGTGCATCCAAAAGTTTAGCAACTCTTTCCCTCCCTTTTTTGTCTTTGATGTGATCATACTGGTCTTTAGTAATAACATCATTTTCTACAAGATGATCCAGAAGAATAACATGGGATTCCAAGTCCAAATTGTTTATAAGATATGTTCTTCTCTTCTTCAGAACAAGTTTATAGTATTTTGAGGTCTGTAAAGTTGGTCTTCTTGGAAGTCCTGGATATGATTCATCCGATTCCATACTCAGGGTAATGCTGTCAAGCTCTCTGCCATTTTGTTTAGACCTCTGTTTCTTTTTTGGCATACTGATGTCGACTTAATGCAATGTTTGAACAAATTAAAAAGAAAAATCCTGAAAAAAAGAGAATTATTCAAAGTTATACATGTAACAATTTTTAATTAATGTGATTCAATGTACATATTTTGTACATACAAATTTGGGTGTAGAGTGAAGTAGGCTACCAGTATATGTACATGTATATCTCCCCTACGCTGAATTTATTTCCCTGACAAGTCCAAAAGGATTTCTATGGAACGATTTCACTGGAACTCATACTTAAACTAGTGAAATGAATCTTAAATGTATACTATAAAATGTCAATGCTCATCAAAGTCAAAACTTTGCTCAGGCTAACATGACATTTGTAATAACGATGTATCGTAAATTTCGCCTGACCTTGAACACAACTCCTGATTTCCAAACGTGATACTTCGGCAAACCACAGAGTGACCATTAACATCTTTTTTTTTTTGTGATAAACATACCTGCATTGCCCACAGGATTGATAAATTTATTAAGATGGCTGCTTTTTTAGCACTGGCAGAAGGGTGTAGGGAATTCCCCCAAATCATGTGATGCCTACAAACACTCTCCACACATTCGCCTCGTTCTCGATATACGTGGTATTGTAATGTATGTTGTACAATGATAAGGGCAATAACAAAGAAAGCGATCTGGTTGAGCAGGTACACGCCACACGTGTTGCGTATTTTTCATGTTTTCTTTTTGTGACAAAGTAGCATGTTTCTCAAGTTAGGGGCTAGAGTACACCAATAGTATATGTAGGCCTACATTGCCCTACATGTAGTTAACGCTCGAGTATGGTCAACGGTGTAGTCGTGGTGATCATTGCAGTACGCACAGTTTGGTACATTTACAGAAAAAGTTATGTTAAAATTGCTCAACAGATGTAATTTAGTTGATGGAAGAAGAACCTCCCTTCTTCCGTTTTAAAGTAATAATTTATCAGCTTTCTACAGTAGAAAACTGCAAATCATGTGACAAACATTTCAAGAAATGGATAAAATATTGTAACTTGTAAGCCTATTTATTTGCAAGGGATTTAACCGTTCAGTAAAATATACAATCGCCGTCAATGTCATCGATGGGTTCGTGAAGTCTGTATCTGATTTGTCACTAATGTGTCAAATCATACATTACCAACGTACCACGCACTGGTACAATACTCATAAATAATGCCCGCACATGAGAAATGACACTGCGAATGTTTGTAGGGAAGTAAGAGAGAGAGAGAGAGAGAGAGAGAGAGAGATGAAGAGAGAACTCGATCTGTGCCCTGTTGTTTTGTTGGCGTAACAAAACATTGTCACTTGAAGAGTTGGCATTATATATCACTTTGCGTATATCCTAGAGTTAGCATTCTGAATTCTAACTAAAGAACATTTGTTTTGCTAGTTACACCAAACTGTTAATCCATTCTTTTACGGAGAAACCGTAATACTTTGTCTAAATTCACAAAAGAATTGGCGGTCCTTTCGTAAATTGTATTTCTAAGTTTGCAAATGATCTTGAAAACAACTGATAACTATACGTTCATTGGCGGTAAGATAAATTATATGGCAAGTTTTTGGGCATCGAAGATAGGCCCAATTAAGCCCCTAATAATAAACCTTTAACAGTGATACACTGTATGATAGACGTATTTTGTTTGCCTGGCAATTATTTTCTTTAGTATCTTTTTTGCCAGAGATCTATTAATACCTTGGAGCTGAATTAACTTAATCTTTGCACAGACATTCATCCATTATCATTATCCATTTACATTTCAATATCCAGATTTTACCTAAGTGTCGCGCGTATTTTAGAATTAAGATTAGAATGACAGATTTATAATCTAGAGTACTTTTATTTGTACAGGTAAAATAATATAAGTAACAAAATATATGTCTTGTAATCCAATTTTGATGAAGAAATTCCTGCATCAAAAGAAAATTACAGTGGCTAATTAAATTTGTGTAGATCAAGGAGAGCACTCTATTCCCAGTTGTGATTATTCATTCCTTCACGGATCGGGGACGAACTACATATTCACTGTCAGACTTACTGGAGATAGGCTAACTGACATCGCTAGACGAAAAAAAACTGCACAGAAACACCTACTGAGTCCTAAAAAGTGGTGTTTAGTTTCGGGCTCACTCGCTTGGTGGCAGCACCAACTTAATTGTGGTAGGTCTACCCTTATTTTCTCAGTTCTTAAGTGCATTGTTTAGATATAAAATATTTTGGTATCTGAAACACTAAAAATATTGTTTAGAAAGATAAAAATGTCATAAAGGTAGTACCATAGTTTATTTACGATATTGGTTTATCGCTACAATTACAATGCAATGGCTATCTTTTAAACTCTTTGTAAGCCACCTTTCTAGACCCACAAGGAAAAGTTACAGAGATGTTCTGATAAGACAATCCATTCTGATGAGAAAATTTATGTTTTTAGTAGTAGTAGTAGTAGTAGTAAACAGTTCTCCTCTAAGGTATAATGATAAATAAAAGAATTTTAAATCTCCCAGAAACATCCCCGAATTACAGTAAAAACGTTGTCTTGAATTCGAAGAGCACAGATGAAAATGTGAAAATGCTTTTTTCTCAAGTCTGTATTGTTTGTCAGTTGCTGAGGGGTATAAAACATGTTTTTTTTTTTTTTTTTTGTTTTTTTTTACAAAAATTGACAAGAAAAGCGGTTCAGAAAAATGCCAAGAAAGGCATGCATTAGTAGTTTTTATTAGTTCATTTTACTATAAAATTTTAGTTGAGGATAGTTCCTTTTGCTGCTTTGAGTTTTTTCAAAAAATGACAGGTCACTACTGCCTGATCTCGTGTACAATATTGGCCCGATTCCCCTTTTTCATGAAAAAAAAAAACTATTACTGCAAAACAGAAAACATAATACGTACATGTTGTTATGCTTATTTTAATGTCTGTAGAGATATGTTTTGTGTTAAATTAGATTTCATGAGCAGTGGTGACTTATTGATATCGTTTCAACTACTCACAAACTATGTACAAGGTTAATTGTTAAATGCTAACTTTAAAAATGTGCACCCGGATGCAGTATAAACTAAATGTATCTGATAGATCTAATACATGAGGTGTTTTACATAGGCTCCTAATATAGTTTGTTCTGGTTACCTGATTATATAGAATGTGCCATTCATATTTGTTTACTGCTGCAGCCTGCAGCTTTTCACCTGATACTGTTAAGGAACAGTAATGAAATATACGGCTCTTACTCTACTAAAAGTTACACCTCAATGCTCTCAGTTACCAAGTCCGATTTCTGGTGAAATCTGTGCTCTCAAATGAAAACTGGACATACGTGATAAATGTTCAATTTTAGTCTTTATATCAGGTTTAGGAATTTTTACCCAAAGGTGGATCCATCTTAGGGTGTGTTTGTTTACGTTTGTGTGTGTGTGTGTGTGTGTGTGTGTAGGGGGAGGGTACTGACTCCCTTTAGCCACCCTGAGAGGTTTCTTTATTTTTGTATACAAACGTGAAGCGCAAATCGAACGAAAAGATGTTATTGACCTCTGTTTTCCCAGACCTGTAAGCTCACTCTTATCAAAGATATTAGACCTGACACTCTGTATTAATAGAAATACTCTGTATTAATAGGAAAAAATTGAATTAATGTACTTTTATAGTGTATTGCTTTTTTCTTTCGAGTGATTGGTCCTTTGAAACAAAGCCAAGTACCCAGGAAGACTGAAGGCAGAACCTTAAGATTCACTTCAAAATCAACCGTCATCCACTATCGGCATTTTTTGGTAATTGGAACTATTTAAGCCCCGGCCTATAAGGCAGTGCCAATCGACTTCTAGTCGGTCCTCGTGTGCTGAAAAAACAACCAAACGAGAGAGTGAAAGTCACTCAACGGGGTACTGTGTGCGCAATGAACCGATATTTTTTTTTTTTAGATAAGCTGTGTGGCCGATCACGTAAAATATCTCGTGTACACACAATCCGCAGGGTAAGGAGTTCCGCGTTCTTGCCTCAAAAATAAAATCCCCAAAGGCTTTCAGTTACTTTATCGTGGTTCCATGGAACTTCTGGTAAGTTCATTTCGCGCTAAATTTTCCGTGAAGCAACCACTATCTGCGTCATTATTGCTAAGTGTGTGGCTGGCACAGCTCTCCGAGGAAGACATCACGTCTTCAGGGGGTACATGTACATTTATCGGTAAATATGCAGAAGAACGTATGGAAGGTCTATCGTTGTCTTGAATATCGTTGTGCGATGTATGTCTCTCTTTCCCATCGTCCGGGGAAGTGTATCTGTATACCGCACTCCTTGCTACACAGAGGTTGTTTTCAGAATTGTTGCTAAAACGCAAGGCTGTGTGTTGGTTTGGTGACAAATAATGTGCGTCGTGGATAAGACTTCTGTCACTGATGTCACTGGTGAGTGACGGTTGTGATAAAAACACCTTTGGCCCAGCAGTTTCCGGAGAATGTGTCCGTATGTTTGGAATCGGGTGGCACTCAGCTTGTACAGTGAGAGTTTGCGTCGCGTGGCCACAGTGTAAACCATGGAATACACTAGGCTGAAAGGCATGAAATACGTCCGCGTGCCTCGGCTTTAGATGTTTCACTCCGTGGTTTTGGTCCCTGTCATGTCTGCAATTATGTAAGGAATTTGCATTATTCTCACAACCTGCATGGGAATGGTTTGGCGAAGCCCAAGGAAATGAATTGTCTACTTGAAATCTGCGCTTTTGGTTGATCCTAGGCGTTTGTCTATACGAAACGGTATAATCACTTTCACTATTTAAACCAACGTCTCTTGTATCCACTGCAACGTCTCTAGTTAAAAGATTTCTTGTCAAAATGACTTCTTTACTTGTACCAAAATTTGTTTCCTCGGCTTTCAATAACATTTGCATAAGCAGGTGTGATTCCCCGAGCTGGGGTTTCACTTTCGTTTTTTCTTTCCGCTTGGACCTAGTATGGGCTTTGTATGGCGGAGGCAAAGCATTCGTTGGTTTAGAATCTGATAACCAGTTAACCATCTCCTTATGCATAGAGTGTGATTTTGTATCCTCTGTAAAGTAAGGTTCGTGGAGATCCTCTTTAAACCAAGTAGTGCCTTTTAGGCAAAGAAACACTATGAAAGCAGCCACTGCAAGGAATGGCATAGCAGAATACGCAGCAATTGGCACTGCACGTTTTTCTGTGCTCTTGGGTGTGTACACTTCTCCATCAAAACTTCTGTCGTAAGTCTTAACAATTGTGTTCCGAAAATTTTGTGGCAGTGCCAATGTTAAATTGAATGTTCTGGAAAAATTTGTTGCACGGAAAATATCCCGGTGCCGCATATTGTTCCCTGTAGTTTTATTTTTCTCTGTGACATCATGGACAATCACGACAATAACCACAACCACCACTCCAAATATCAAAAGAAGGCCTATCTGCACTGCCAACCGCATTGGGAGCAGCCTGTGACTGTCAGTAATATTGACTTCTCACCACCGCGATTTCTGCCTGAAAATGAAATAAAAAATATGTTGGATGAAACAAACTTTATGCTTCTTTGAAAGTTACTCGTCGATTTATACATATAACTTCTAGAACAATTCAACTTCTAAGATGCAATCAAGATGCGGTAGGTAAATTTTTTCTCTTTGAATAAATACACTAAAGGCAAATCAGAGCAAGTCTGCCAGTGTGACTATTAAATCTTATTTTCATTGAGAGTTACACTCTGTCGACTGCTGCGCTTAATGAAGCTCATTTGAGAAGCAAATAGCTGTCGAAATTTTGGAAAAAAATAGCTAAGTAATTTCCCCTAATAACGAGCGTGCTCCCTGTCCCTGAGTTTTAAATACAATACCTCAACTTGATTAAGTCTTTCTCTGGGAACCAAATAACCAGGCAGAGAAAACGAACTGAGGTCTAGTACCACACACATGCCTCAGTTCTATACTACCCTGTATCAGTAACAGGTTTGCACCACCTCTGGCAGCATTTATCATATTTATAACAAGATAGAGGAATCAATGCTAATATATAACCCACGGCTCACTTTCCTTAACTTAGTCCATGAGGACGGCGTGGGACTTCCATTTTTACCAGTAATTTTCTACACGTGAAGAATTACGCTTCGAAAACAGTACTTGGCCCCATTGACTTAATTACCAAAACTTTGTTACGTCCGTGTTGCAAGGATGTAATTTGTCAGTTGACTGATGTCAGCATCTGAATATCATCAATAGTACATTTGATTTGCGATTTAAGCCTTAAAGTGCGATTTGTATTCTCTTAAGGAAAAAAGCACTTTTTTCTTGACTTCCCTTAGTTGAATGATATTAGTTTAGCTTACAGAAGAATTGGCCTGGCCTAATCGTACATGTAAGATGCATTTCAAAGTTGGCTCGACACCATATAAATGACCTTGGAGAAAATTGACTACATTCGTTAGCAGCCTTTCATGTCAGATAACTTGGCCAGTTTAAGACCATCGGAAGTAAGACCAAGTATGCCTTGACTAAAAAATCTTTACCACTGCAGGTATAACTGGGTATAGGCCTACTTTAAATCTTTTGATGCTTACTTTGCAATCGACAGTTCAAGTATTTCTCTTAGCCCTTTTATTACAGTCAGACATCTACTAATACCTTGACATGGATTTGATTCAATTAATCTGTACACAGACATTTAACCACTATAATTATTCAATTACATATCAATATCCAAATTTTGTCTATTTGTTTGGCGTGCTTAAGAATTAAGAACGACGGAATTATCATCTGGAGTACTTTTTTTGTACATGTAAATTAATACAAATACCATAAGTGACACGGACATATTTCATATAATTCAATTCTAATGAAAAACGTCCTCTGGTAGTCGAAAATTATAGTGGCTGATTGAATTTGTGTAGATCACGGAGCTCTCTATTCCCCGTTGTGATTATTCATTCCTTCACGTACCCTGAACACATCAATCTGGGAGGACGTAAAGGATATTCGTAGCCGGGCCAGCCGATACCCGAAATGGTCTTGACTGGCGTCACAAAACGACCAAATAATATAGGGACATCCATTGCATTCCATCAGGACTTCACTCTCTTTGTGGGGTTTTCAACACGTCAATTGGTCGATTTTCTATCTAAATTTGTACGGTTATGAACAAACCCACAGTTTTGCAGTGTTACGAAATTTAAAGAAAAATAAAGAAAATGAAGGAATACCCCAGGCTCTGAAGTGATGTGTTCGTGTTACTTTTGCATCTGTTCTTTAACATGTCACCACTGCTATTTGAACAAAGTAAGACTTTGTGATCCAGAAACCAGAATTATAAATAAATGAAAAAAGATAATATTAAAGGCCCTGTTGCAAGTAATCAGACTACAGTGTACCTGTAGATCTCGACAATGCATGAATATAAAAACATCATGTCATCATCTGTTAACCTAATATATAAAAAAAACAAACAAATGCTCGAAGCACTAAAGGCACACGTGTTTTGTGTTTTATGCGCTATGCACCGTGTAAATGTGAATTTCTCAGATATAATATTATAACATCAGTACCAGTATCATAACCAGTGCTGTATACTGATAGGAAAATACGTCCCATTTTTAGAAGGGCAACAAAAGGGCAACAAAGGGCAACAAAACACAGCAATAAACATGTATATAATGAGCCTCGTAAGATGGACTTGCTATAGATGCTGTACAATAACGCGTGCGGCGGCATATTATGCTCGGGCATGGCTGTTTCTTACACAATGTCTGCCAGTATATTTATTTCCTCGGCATTGTGCAATCATTTATTACTAGATCAAAGTCAAGGCCTTTTGTTATTGGTTTCATTGCCTTTTAGATCCCAATCATTAAATTGATGCATTTGGGGAAGATATGGGGTTGTCCATTTCCGAGAGAAAGATTTTGATATCAATAAAAGCAACGACATTGCTTGTTGTTAAAAAAGCTGTACAACTTCATTAAAATCTGCAATACAACACCTTCCATCTTATATGTGGAATATATTAATTATGATAAAATGACAAGTTAAAAGAAAAAAACCCTTGAAACAAGCAGTCTTACCCATCTGGGGCTATTCCGGGTTTGCTATTATAAAAAAACAAGTAAGATGAAGATCACCACACAGACAAAGAAAATTTGAATCGTTGCTGCAT